AATAATCTTCAAAAAGAAGAGCAACATTGGAGGACTTAACTCTACCTGATTATAAAAATTAGTATATAGTTATGATAATTAAGAGTGTGGTATTAGTTCAGTCTAAATAAATAATCAATGAAACAGGACACAATCCTGAAATAGACCCACACATTTATGTGGTTAATTGATTTTTAACAGAGGTATCAAAACATCAGAAGGTGCTTAAAAATGAATTTTGTCATCTATTTCATACTACTTTATAGGCAAAATTAATTCGAGATGGATGAGTCTTAAATGTAAAAAGTAAACTATAAAGCACCAAAGCATCTAGAAGAAAAATTGATTTCAGCCTTGTAAGCAGAATGCTAAATGAGTCCACTTGAACGTCTGTCCTACAAAAGAGAGAATAAATTTGTGGTGTCTTTAGCTGCTAAATTTGTGATAATTTGTTATGGCAACAATAGAAAACACATACATGAATTATAGTGAAAAATTATAATTATTATTGTCTACATTAGTAGGAATTGAATGGGAAGGGACACTGAGGTGTTTTCTGGAATGAGGAAAATATATCTTGACATGAGTGTGAGTTATATGGATGTATCCTCCTGTTGAGAGCTATCAAATAGGGTGCAGTGACCCACACCTGTAATCCCAGCAATTTAAGAGGTTAAGGCAGGAAGACTGCGAGTTTGAGGCCAGCCTCAGCAACTTAGCTACAGCCTGTCTTAAACCAAAAATTGTGGATATTAGTTTTCGTAAATGCTACCTTATCAAAACCCCTATAAATTAATGCTGAACTATCTTTAAAACAGTTTTTCTTTTTTGGTCCCAGGGATTGAACGCAGGGGTGCTTATCCACTGAGCCACATCCCCAGCCTTTTAAAATATTTTATGTAGAGACAAGATCTTGCTGAGTTGCTTAGGGCCTCGCTAAATTGCTGAGGCTGGCTTTGTACTTGTGATCTTCCTGCCTCAGTATCCCCAACCGCTAGGATTACAAGCAACAATAATCTGTTATGGCAACAATAGAAAACTCATTAATGATTACAGGCGTGCATCATTAAGAGTGATACGGTTAACAGCTTGGAAACATATGTGAACATTAAGTACATTAGTTAGAATAAGATCAGAGGAGCAGAACCACAAAGGAATTTATAGCTGGAAACTAGATAAGCAATATAAGTCTGTTGATATTGCTTTGGTGCTAGGCCTTAAGTCAGCTAGGCTGACAGTTGGTAAGAGAAGATGGATGTGGAGTGGAGAAGAACAAGGACAAAGTGAATCTTGCATCTGTCTCTTGCTAGACCCGCATTGTTTTCTCACCACCTCCAAATTCCTACACTGATGATACAGGTAACCTAAAAAACGAACGCCATGCTTCGCTATAAAGCTGCAAATGAACCTGACTCGGGATTCAGAAAAGTTTAAGGAGATCCTATAAGATCTAGAGGAGCTGGATTTCAGCTTCTACCCTTCTCCTAAATTTGGAGAAAGCTGAAGCCGCTGCTCACTAGGCTGCAGCCCCAAATCAACAATGAGCCCCGGGTAATGACGTGCATGAACTTCAACAGCTATGATCTTACACTCAACTTCTTTTATTTTTTCTTAAACCCAACTTCTAAGCTCAAATATGCTTGACGCTCGACGTCTCATGCAAATTTATGTGGCCAATACTAAAATTTAGCAGTTTGGCAATTCTGGAAAATGAAGTTTTCAGCCAGGCGTGGTTTGCACCCTTTATTCTTGTAATCCCAGGTACTCCAAAGGCTGAGGCAGGAGGATCCCAAGTTGGAGCCAGTCTCAGCAATTTAGCGACACCCTCGGTAATTTAGGAAGATTCTGTTTCCAAAATAAAAAGAACTAGGGATTCGGCTCCGTCGTAAAACGTCCCTGGGTTCCCCAGACCAAAAAGATACCCAGCAACACGTAGGACCCAGCCACCCCGCGCGATCAAAGAAGCCGAAAACCCGCTGCTGGACCCCGAGATAGACAGAGGAAGTGGGGCGGGGCCTTGCGGTCACATGACCGAATTGGGGCTTCTTCTGCTGTTGACTGGTTCTGGCAAACGCAAGGCCGCGGCGCTCCTGTACGGACCAGAGAGCTGCAAACCGCAGTCCTGGAGTGGACGCTGGTGGGGACTCGGAGCGCGGCCCGTGCGCGTGAGTGGACGAAAGTGCCCAGGACGGTCCTGAGGCCGGGTCGGGGGACCTTTTTCTCTGGTGGGGCTCGCCAAGGGAGGGGACTCCTGGTCAGGCCTGGGAACCCGAAGAGACGGAGCCCAGGTTTCATGGCCGCAGCAGGTGGACCCGAGCACCGCGCGGAGGACTTCCTGGAGGAGGCGGCGGGGCGGAATGTCAGAGGCGTGGAGGTTTGGGAGAAACTAGTGTGAGGAGAGCTATGGGTGCCGCTGAATGAAGACCCCCGGCCGTCAGGGAAAGCTCCAGGGCGTTTGCGCAGGGTCTCTGAGGTCTGTGGCGCCAGCTTTCAGCAGCTTTCCTGCAGAAAAGGAGGAACAGAATCCCATGAATGACTGCCTCTTGCACACAGTGGTTTTCTTATGGGGAAAAGCGAAACGCGATTTTAAATCCAAGGTGCTCACATCATGATGCAGTAGCATTTAAGAGTCTGCCCAAAGTTAACACCAGCTCAAAGTTCATTGTGCACACAAAGGAACAGTACGCGGACGCAGCTTCTGAAGCATCAACGAGCGGGTGCAGTGATCTTGTTAAGTGGCTGTTACAGACCTGCTTAGGGCAGGTAGAGACGTGCGTAAGCCTACCCTCTGAAGTTGATTGATTGGCCTTTTCATGAGGACAAGAAAAGCGGGTTTTGTTCATGTAGTGCTAGCATCTTGGGGAAGTCAGGGTGATTCTAAGTTTTGGTTCCGTGGTGTTTGGGTGGTTGGCCGAGGATTGTACGCAAACCGTGCGTCTATCTGATTTTTCTTGAGCACCGTCTTCACAGTAGCTATTCAGCAAATGCAGTTTAGATGATGCAAGGGAGGAGGCCTCTGTCCCAGTCTTGGAGCCACAGATCAGGACAGTTATGAAATGACTTTGTTTAAGGGGATGGGGAAAGGGCGAGGGTATGTGTAGGGTCTTCCAAACAACGCTTTTAGGGTGCGTGGGCTGTGTGAGCGGCTTTAATAAGAATTTATATCGTTACCTGTGGTGCAGGCTAGTCGGTTACTTCTGTTGTGGAGTTCTCAGTTCCTTCTAGCAAATCACTACACTAGCGGGAATGTGGGTACCCCCAATATCGCCATGGTTGGCTTCCCCGTCCCCAATTTCTCATGTTTTTCCAGTTTCGCTTGAAATTGACTTAAGTAACAAAGTGATAATCATGGGTGCCAACTCACCCAGCACAAGGGGGAATTTTATTGACCAATTCATTTTCTTTCTCTTTTTATTTTGTGATAAAGGATAGAAAGTTTTTTTTCCCCTCACTTTATTTATTTTAGCATTTGTATGCTGGCACTGGTGGTTTTAGTGGCTAGAGTTGGCAGTGGGAACGTGGTTGGGAATACATAACTATATGTAGAAAAACAAATACAAATATGATGTTACCAGATGTGATCTTACTTCCTGGAGAGCTAGATGGCTAGATTTGGTGAAGAGTCCAGCTAAACTTGTGACTAAAGAAAAAAAATGATAAAACATTTCTTATCTAAGTGTATTTATTTGATGAAAGAAACATTAAGTTCACTGAGGAATTCTGAAAATACAGAAAAAACACAAAAAAATTAGAATCATCTGTATCCCTGAGAGTAACAATACTGAATTATGATTCAATATTGAGCAAACAATATAGAATACTGTAATAGCCTCGTTGTTTATATGCAGCCTGGACTCTTCAATGATCTCCTGAAATTGTTTATGTGATGTGGAAGTAAATAAATATCACTCAAATGAGAGCAAGCAATGGCTCTTTATTCAAAGCTTCCTCTAACAAGGAAGTCAACCACTAGCACTGTGTGGGCAGAGCCCCAAAGACAGCAGAGGAAAGCTTTATAGTGAAAAAAAAAAAAAAAAAGAATGCTCAAATAGCCTTGTTTGGGTTTTTTATCTTGGGGATGCTGGTTATCTAGATTACCTATTTGATTTTTAGGTTAAGTCGAAGTAAGTCATCCCATGTAAATAGACGAGCATATTTACTTCCTCTTGTTCCTTTACTTCATCCCCTTCAATTTAAGACCTCTTGTTGGTCTTAAATTGAAGGGGATGGAGTAAAGTTGTCTTTACCCAAATGCATCCACCAAGTCAAACCCTAGCAAAATGGAGCAGGGAGGCCATGACTGATAGGTGCCCATGCTGCTGTATGTGCCTATAATAAGAACCTTTAGGAGTCTCTGAAACTTTTTAGGAATTTCAGATAAGCCTCTTCTATTGAGACAGTTACCCAGCAGCAATCACCAACTCCTGAGATAAATCCCTGAACTAATGGTACTTATTTCAAAACAGCTTATACTTCTATTTTCTTTTAAAAGATCCCTCCTACCCTGCCCTGACCCCTGAATGTGCTAGTGGTACACCAGAACATGCATATCCCAGACTGCAGTCTTTTTTATTATTATTATTATTCCTGAATAAACTCTCTGCTTTGGAGGGTTGGTTTCCCTGTTGCTCATTTTAGGTTAACAGGGCCAAAAATTTGGGTAAAGATGGCAGTTATTGACCAATTTCTGGATTGGTTCCAATCACTGCAGATGTTGTGGTTTGGCTTCTATTTGTTTTGTCTGGCTGTTGTCCCTTTGTATGTGCCTTGTTTCAAGTAGGTGCTGGGGAACTTATCCTAGGGAGAAGGGGAGGGCAGGGCTACAGTTTCCCTTGGATAAAGCTTTGGAAATTGAAATCAGAAATCTCCCAGATGACTATTCTAGCAGCTCATTCACAAGCACAGTGACTTGGTGTGGACTAAGTTTAGTTTGTTGGCCCATTGGAGTACCCTGTCCCAGGTCTGCCTAGCAAGAGATCTTCAAATTAGGGCTAGCCTTGTTTTCTCTTTCTCTTCTTCAGCCTACCCTGACAGGCCAGCTCCTTCCCCTTGTGCAAGATCAGGACAGCGAAGTGATGTTCCCAACAGCCCCGTGGAAGGTGAGCTCTGGTTTCTCCTGTTTCCTCATCCTCACCACTGTGAACAACTCCTTCATTCACACTGAACCCTCTTTAGCAATTTCAGGAATTTTCTTTTACTCTGAAGCCAGATGGATTCAAATCCAGACTGTTTCAGATGTGTTTCTTACAACAAGTTACATAAGCACTCTAGGCTGTAGTTTCCTTACCTGTAAAAGGGGAAAATAGTAGTGCCAATCATAAAAAGTGTGTGGATGACTACAGGCATGTGCAGTACTTTGCATAATACCAGTTACATGTTAAGTGCTCCACAGGCTTTAGCTGATATTATCAGAGTTCCTGACTTTTTTTCTGTCAGTGAGCAATCTTATGTACTTAGTATAAAAACAGACACTGTTTTGTTCTGGGAGATAACAATCTGCTTGGAGAGGCAAATATGTAAGAAAATTCTTATAATAGGAATCAATTATGAACTGTTAGCATTAAAAGGTACATGGCAGCTAGGCACAGTGGCACATGCCTGAAATCCTAGCACCTTGCGAGGCTGAGGCAGGAGGATTGCAAGTTTGAAGCCAGCCTGGGCAACTTAGTAAGACCCTGTCTTAAAAAATTTTTAACAAGCACTGGGGATATTGATTAGTGGTAGCGAACCCCCTGGCTTCAACTTCCAGTGCCAGGTCAAAAAGATTTGAGCATGGTAGCAAATGCTTATAATCCTAGTGGCCCAGGAGGTTGAGCCAAGATTATCAGAAGTTCATGGGCAGACTCAGCAATTTAGGGAAACCCTTAGCAATTTAGTGAGACCCTGTCTCAAAAGGACTGGTGGGTTGTTGGGTTGTGGAGTCAAAGTCTTGAGTGTTGAATCAAGACATTGGAGGAGATGAGAGTGGAATCAAAGGCAGAGGAGGGGGGATTACTAGGAGGGGACCTCCTCCTCCTGACAAAAGAGAGTAAGAAAGGTAAAAATTTAGGTAGTGTTTGAGGGGAGTGAGGAGAGTTAAAGAGTAAATAGCCTATGGGCTGATCTCTGGGATAGGGTTGGCAGTGTTTTCTGAGAGTGGGGCCTAGTCAGGAGGCCCCCATGGATTACCCTTGGTGGGGTAAGGATCCAGGGTATTGATGATGGATGGCTACTGTGTACCATGTTGACTTTTCCACTCAAGCCTTCATTCCCTGAGACAGGGACCAGGGCTGCCATGGGGTCGTGTAGCTGGTGCATCTAGCACCTTGAGGGGACTCATTCATGGCTGATAGGAGCTGCTCTGGAGCTGAGCAGGGCACAGCCTGAGCAGCTACATGCTGTGGTAAGTGCTTCCTGAAGGAATGAGTGCAAGGAAGGCGAGAGCAAGCCCTGTACAGCAATGTGCAGGGCCAACTCAATGTGTGGAGAGGACCCTGGGCTGTTAAGCCATAACACTTCTCAGCTCTTGTTCACCCTCGCATAGGTGCAGAGCATAGATGGTGAGTGGCTCAGGCTGAGGAGACTGCAGGGTTGCTCTGGTGGAAGGAGGGGCATCCAGGATGGTGGTGAAACTGTAGATGTGAACTTTAGGTTTAATAGGGAAGAAAGACAGGCCACATGATTTGGAAGAATCCAGTATTTGTCTGCGGAGGGGAGCTCTGTGATGCTTCCCAGGATGAAGGTATTTCCTGTTACTGGTTAGTTATGATAGAGAATGTAAACCCAGTGTACCTTGTAGAGGAAGGAGTGTTGAGGATAGTGCCCAGCCTCTGCTCCAGGGGCTGTATAAGTGCATACACTAGGGTGAGGCACCCTGCGTTCTCAGTCCATGAGTTGAACTCCAGTAAAAACTTCTGTGTCTACTGGGCTGAAGGGTCTGTTTGCCTTCTCTGGATATACTCCTTTGCACATTGGTCTATACCTTTTATATTCACTAGCAATGTGTTCCCTTACTGTTTGACTTTGGGCAATGGGATGGAGCGGAGACAAGGGACCAGAGGCCTGGAGGAAACTGAGGTTGGATGTCTATTCCTACAGTTCTTCCCGGGCCAGGATGTGGAATGGTGATGGCTACCTTTCTGTGAGGCCCTTGCCTTGCTCCTACTCCACCAGCTTTCTGGAATCTGGTGGCCCTTCGTCTAACTTACCCCTTCAGACCTAGTGGGTGTTGGTATTCATTAGGCCTGTCCATTCCTTTGTAAGTAGTCTATGTACTAACCACAACCTCGTCTCTTTCCTAAGGGCACCAGGGGCAGGAGTCGGGAGAATGACCTGGACCTGTTAGTAAAGTGCTTCTGGGATGCAGCCAAATCCATTTGCTTATTGTAGTTTGTGATTGCTTTTGTGCTGTAACAAGAGTTGAATAGCTGCCCTAGAGACCAAATAACTTGAAAAACCCAAAATATTTGCTGCAGAGCCCTTTTGAGAACAAGTTTATTAACCCATGGCACAGAAGGAAGAACATGCCTGGTCTGAGGGCTAGTAGTCTGATTGGAGTCCTGAATCTATCACTTACTGAGTGACCAGAGCACTTGACCTCACCTTTGTCAGTAGAAGAACAATAATAGTTGCAACTGATTTTAAGAACTGAAGTTACAATGGTTGTTTCTTTTTTCAGGAGTTGCTGTTATTTGAGGATGTGGCAATGTACTTCACCAGAGATGAGTAGGCTCACCTTGACTGGACTCAGAAGAACCTCTATAGAGATATGATGCTGGGGAACCACAGGAACATGATCTTCCTGGGTAATGGCTGTTTGTATATTCCATGTCTACGCAAGTGCACAGTTCCTCCGTCCCTTATCTGCAATTCCAAAATGCAAGAGTGCGGGAAACCACCTGTTTTTCATGACTTATTTGACTACAGAGCCTTAGTTGAAGTGATCAGTTAGTGAAGCCACTGCCTTCTGTGATTTTCCCACCTCCTATGCATATCTGTATACTTAGCTCTGGAAATGTCCATGTGTTTGGTCGAGGGCACAGCTCTAAAACCTATTGGGGATGGTTCATAATACCACACACACACACACACACACACACACACACACACCCCAAATCACCTTTCTGATGTCTGGACTGAATCCCTAAACACACGTGGCCCCAAGGGTTTCAGATAAGGACCTGTGGACAGTGAATAGCTGTGTTTTATTTTAGGGGTCAGAGCATGAATCTATGCTCCACTCCTACTCCCTTCTTTCACATCTTTTAACAACTTGAAGAGCTAGAAAAATTATGGTTAATTTAATTAATTAAATTTCCTAAGGCTCATTTCTTATTCTCTTGAAATCTTTTTCTTTCTTCTCTGAAAAAGGAAAGCTTCCTTGTCTCTGACATTATTGAGTGCCCAGGAAATGATTTTCAACTCCATTTCTGAATCATGTTACCTCCATCTTTCCAGCAGTCTGCCCTGGTCTTGTGCAGCAAAGTCTCTGAAACACAAGTGGCCTTGATAGTTCCCCTTCTCAGGCAATATGCTTGGCTCCTGGCATTGATAGAAAGGTCTTGATTACCTCTTGTAGGTACAACCAATCACCCTGAATTTTTAAAAATTGATTATTCTTTTAAAAAAGTATTACAGCCAGGCACAGTGGCACATACTTGTAATTCTAGTGGCTCAAGAGACTGAGGCAGGAGGATTGCAAATTCAGAGTGAGCTTCAGCAACTTCAGCAACAGTACACTATTTTCAGTGTACTCCATTGGTGATTTTACTCGTTCATTATAGAAATTTTGGAAAATACATTAATGAATAGATAATAAAAAAGTCTACGAACCCACTGGAAATAACTCTTAATAGTTTGGTTTACTTCTTTCTAGTCAGTCCGTCTTGCTATCTACTTACATATTCACTTACTTTATGGACATATATATGTAGTTTTTTAAAAAAATAATATTTGAAAATAATGTGCTCGAATTTTGTATTCTGCTTTATTGTTGTTTTCTTGCCATACTGGGAATTGAACCTAGAACCTAGGTGCTCTACTACTGAACTACATTCCTTTTTTATTTTGAGACAGGGTCTCACTGAGTTACAAAAAAATCTATCTTAAACTTCATAATTCTTCTGCCTCAGCCTTCTAAGTAGCTGGGATTACTAGTGTATGCCACCTGGCTGAATTCTCTTTAAATTATATAACTAGCCAGAAATGGTGGTTCATGCCTGTAATCCCAGTGACTTGGAAGGCTGGGGTAGGAGGATCACCAAGATTGAGGTCAGCCTCAGCAACTTAGTGAGACTCTGTCTCAAAAAATAAAAAGGACTAGGGTTGTGACATGTGACTCAGTGGTTAAGTGCCCCTGGTTTAATCTCTGGGGGATTAATAAAGAAATAATACCAAAATAAATAAATACACAGAGCAAACATTTTCCTATGTTAGTAAGGGAACACATGGATTTTTAATATCTGCCTAATACTTAGGACTTCATTGTTTTAACATGCTATACTTTATTTATATTCAGTCTCTATTAAATAAACACAGTTAATTTGTAGTTTTACACTGCTGGAGCACTATGTCAAACAGCTCTGGTATGTTCATCTTTTCCCTAATAATTCTTTAGGGTGTATTTCTTTTCTTTCTTTTTTTTTTTTTAGAGAGAGAGAGAGAGAGAGAGAGAGAGAGAGAGAGAGAGGGAAAGGGAGAGGGAGGGAGGAAGGGAGGAAAGGGGAGGGGAGAGAATTTTTTAATATTTATTTTTTAGTTTTCAGTGGACACAGCATCTTTTATTTTTATGTGGTGCTGAGGATCGAACCTAGTGCCCTGCACATGCCAGGCGAGCACGTTACCGCTTGAGCCACATCCCCAGCCCCCCTTAGGGTGTATTTCTAAGAGTGAATTATTGCTATCTAAGGGCATGAATGTTGTTCAGGCTTTCAATAAAGATTGCCAGTCTTCACAAAGATTGCATTAATTTATGTTCTCATTAGCTCTTTTAATTATTATTCTTATTTCTGCTTGTCATTGTGGACTCAGAGGGGCGAGACTGAGCCCTGGGACATCTCTCTGCAGTTTATTAACAGCCACCTCCCACTTACTTCTCCATGAGTAGGATTTTGGTTTCCTAAACCTGAGGTGATCTGTCAGCTGGAAAACTGGGACAAGCCATGGATCTTGGATCTGCAGAGTGCTGGGATCAGGAAAGCTTCTAGTAGTGCTTGCCCAGGTGGGTGAGGAGGATGCCCAGGCAAGAGAAGTCATGAAGAGAAAGAGAAGGCATGTTAAAGAGCTGCTTCTGTGTGCCAAATGTGCAGAATATAATATACCCACTTCCTCATTGCTACTGCCCTGGGAAGGTGGTAGGATGATCATCATCCACCTCTTCCAGATAAAGAAATGGGAAAGAGAAGAGGTCTCTCACATAGTGAGAAGGTTCACAGTTGAGATTTGAGTTCCAAGTCTGAGAAGCTCATCCTCTTTCTGCTGCAGTATGGAATGGCTTATCTGAAGCAGCTGCCTGGTGTTTGCTAAGTGGCAACTCTCATGCTTCTCCCAGAGACCTTCGTCCCACCCCCCCATCCATTCCCCATACCGTTTACTGCTCTCTTGCTGTAGTATTGTTTTCCTATTCCCTCAGTATTTCTTGATACATTTCCTTTCTGCTTCTGCCCTCTGCTTCAAGCTTTCTCACTCTCAACATTGTTGCCATTTTTAGCTGGTCAGTTCTTTGTGGAAGGCTGCTTGTTAAGCAGTGTCCCTGGTCTCTATCCACTGCATGCTAATTATAGCCCCTACCCCTGTTGTGACAACCAAAGAGGCTCCAGATGGAGTTCCATCCAGAAGTATTAAAAGCATGCCTATCTAGAATATAAGGTGCTGCCTCTCAAAACTACGTTTATGAGACACTACTGAGAACCCAGAATGTTGCTTTCTGTCATCTTGATGGACTTTTTTTTCTTTTTGATGGTACTAGAGATTGAACCCAGGGCTTTGTGCATGCAAGGCAAGCACTTTATCAACTGAGCTATAGCCTCAGTTCATGATGGACTTTTTTGTTCACACATTCTTTGGCATATACTTATGTGTTTTTTAGTGGGTCTGCTGATACTAAGAGCTCTTGGAGCAGAGTCCTATGGAATTTAGAATTTTGTCCTCTTGGGTGGAATGATGTAAACAAATGAGCACTTCTCAGCATCATTTGCTTGTCTATTATCCCAAACTGTTGGCTGCTTTTCCTTCTGGCTCTTCAGTGGTAGAAAACATCATTTGTCTTTCCTTGTATTTGGCTAGGTCCCGGAGCCAGTTACAAGATGAAAAAGCCAACTACACAGCAGAAAATTTCTGAAGATTTAGAGTCATATGAGCCATCACTGGTAATGCAGAATACAACCAAGAAATTTTCAGAAAAGTTATATAGATGTAATGAAGTTGTGGACAGTAGCAAGTTTGTACTCCCCAGTAGTAGCAATGGATATTAAGATTTTCTTGAAAACCTGGATCTTGTTCAACATCAGAATGCTCGAACAAACTCAACCCAAGGTCATTATTTTTGAGGTATGAGCATATTCTTAAAAGAGCAAAGCCTTATGAATGATGTGGAAAAAAACATTAGGCATCAGGCAAATTTTGATAAACAGCAAAGAATTCACTTTTTAGAGAATCCCTTTGAGTGTTCCATATGTGGGCAAACCTTCAAACAACGGTCAACTCTTATTGACCATAAACAATGTCACCTGCAAAAAAACCCACGTAACTGTCATGACTATGGAAAGTGTTTCCGTCAGCTTGCATATCTTGTTGAACACATGAGGATTCATACCAAAGAAAAACCTTATAAATGTGGAGAATGTGAAAAAACTTTTAGCTAGAATTCAATCCTTATTCGACATCATTTAATCCATAGTGGAGAAAAGCCACATAAAAGCCTTGAATGTGGAAAAGCCTTGGGTCGGTTTTCTACCCTTAGGAGCCATCAACAGATTCATAGTAAACAGAACTCTTTAAGTGCACTGAATGTGGATCTCCTTCAGCACCAGAGAATCCATACCAAGGAGGCATTCTTTGAATGTACAGAATGTGGAAAAACTTTTAGTTTCAAGACAAATCTTAAATCAACATGAGATCATTCACACTGGAAAGAGACCTTATAGATGTGACATGTGTGGCAAATCTTTCATTTGGCAAATAAGTTTTATTAAGCATCAGGGTACACACAAAGGACAGGGATGTACATAATGGTATCAGAAGAGCTGTCATTTAAAGACTAGAACTTATCATCTCCTGCAAGTATATATAACAAGTTTCATGAAAAGTAATAAACAGAACTGAAGTGGTTTTCCTATGTGTACCTTATTTTCCTGCTGTAGCCATGATTTACATAGTGATGCATGCCTATAATCCCAGCAGCTAGGGAGTCTGAGGCAGGAGAATTGCAGGTTTAAAGCCAGCCATGGCAACACAGCAAGGCC